AGACACCAGCAAAGCCCATGCCCAGAATTCCACCTGCTGAGGGATGGCTGGATCTATCTCAAAGGGCCAGTTTTAAGTTCTAGCTGTGTGACCCCAGAAGACCCACTTCTGAGTCTCAGTTTCCACATCAGTGAAATGGAGGTGATAAGCGACTACCTAAGACGTTTGCTCAGAGGTTTGAAACTGAGACGGTGTGGGGAAGTACCCTGCACACCCTAAGGCGCTCTGTCTGCCATGTTTCCCAGTCTCCGAACTGACATCAAAATCACCATGGGAGCTTTTTAAAAACACAACATACCATGGGGCAACCCACACCTACAGAATCAGAAGAAGGCTTGGGCAGGCATTCTTCTTCTTCTGGCCCTTCTTTTCTATTATTTCCTCCCATGGTCCTGATGCTCCATTAACTTCAGATCTGTCGGCTTCTGATAGCTGGGAAGAAGAAAACGCAGCCAATATATATAGGGTCCAGCACAAATAACACCCCTTTTTTATTAAAAAAAATCTATGATTACAAAATCATAAGCATGTAATTCTGTAACATAACACTATCACTCTCAAACATACCATATGACATTTTAGGTGAAATATTCAAATCATAACTATAAACTATTACACCCATATTATTACCCTACCAACCACATTCAAGTAAGCATCACTTCTGCCGGACCCTGTACGTATATATTTAGAGATCCTGGGGGTTCCTGGAATATGCTGGATTTGAGGGTTTTCTGGTCAGGGCTTGACAACTATGATAAGGTGAAGAAAAAGAAAGACCTGTTAGCTTTCACAAAACATGGGAAATGAGCAAGGCAGCCAAAGGGATGGATGGTGGCTTTGACCTTCAGTCTGGAGGGTGGGTCCTGAGAGAAAAGAGACCCTCAACTGGTCACCCTCAGCTGCAGTACGGTGGTCAAGGAAATCAGTTTAAAGCACACAGCTCCCTACAGTTTATAACATTTGAATCTGTATTAATTAATTCGATCCTCCCTATATCCCTGTGAGATGGGGTTTCTTACTTATTCCCATTTGACAGGTAGGGAAACTGAGGCCCAGGGGAGGAAATGACTAGGCAAAAGACCACAGGCAGCCAGGGAGAGAGTCATGATTTGTACCTGGGACTCTTAGTTTCCAAGTCTCTCTATCACACTCTGCTTCGTGTGTTGATCAGAAAGCAGTGGCAAGAACACTGGAGCTCTGTTGTTCTGGCTCTGCTATAACATGCTGTGCAATCCCAGACAGATCTCTTGCCTTCTCTGGGCCTCACCACTATCTAGCATCGTTGTCTTAGGGATTAAGTGATATAATGATCTTAAAAGTATCCAGCACAGTCCCTGGCATGCGATAGCAGCCAGGATGACCACCAGAAGGAGAAGAGAATGGGGAAAGTGATGTGCATGCGTACAAAGGGTGTGGCAACATAATAGGAGGAAGGACCAACTTTGCCAGGTGGAGGGCTTCCTTGGGGAGAGAATTTGGACAGACTTGAAGGATGCAGAGGCCTTTACCTCCCTTACCTTCCTCCCCCAGTTCCACGAGACTAGAGGACTAGAGGTGGGGTGTTTAAGAAGGGATGGCCAGAAATGAGGCTAAAAAGGTGGAGGTTGTGAGGGCTAAAGAAAATAATACTTTTCCTTGCACCTTCTAAGTTCTTCTAGTTAGACTAATAATCAAATTAACAGTGACAGATTGGGTATACATGACACTTTGAACAAAGGAGAAAGGGGAGGAATGGAGTCTTAGATTTCAGAAGTGAGAACGGATGATTTACAGGTAGTTGAGAAAGAGCAGAACACACGTGGCAGACAAATTATTGCTAAGCAACTCAAAAAAATGGGACACGGTATCTAGTTAACAGATCCTTACCTAAAGCCACCCTACTTACCATACTTAATTCAAACTAGGCTAAGGCAATGTCCTCAGGTTTCCTTCCCTGAAGGAGGTTTTATCTCTGAATCTATTGGGCAGGAAAGGGGAGAGGGTCAAAGCTTCTTTTTTTAAAAAAGTTTTTGTTATTATGTTTGTTGACTTTAAAGAAAGAAGAAGCAGGGAGAGAGACACACACAGAGAGAGAAAGAGAGACAGAGAGAGACACTGATTGGTGGCCTCCCATATGCACTGTGGGGTAGGGTTGGGGGCAGGATTGAACCTGCAACCTAGGCACATGCCCTGACCTGACCGGGAATCCCCCAACCTTTTAGTGTGTAGGAGGATGTTCCAACCAACTGAGCCACACCAGCCAAGGCTACTTTGAGTCTTCTATTTCTTAATAACCAGCTTAAAATCAATATCCCAAAAGGCAAAGCTTGTGGTCCCCTTCACTGTGAAGGAGGCATGTCACATGGCTTTGAATGTCAAGCCAAGGAATTTGAATTTTGCCACTGAAAGGTTTTACAGGTATCACGGTCCATTCTGCAGGTCTGCAGTTTAGAAAGGCCTACCTCCCCAACCCCCTACTCCCCACCCCGCACACTCCCCCCACCCCTCGCCCCAGCACAGTGTGACAGCAGACAGGAGAGGGGGCCTAGAGGCAGAGAGACCATGGAGTGAGGCTTAGTGCAGTGGACAGGTAGGGTTGATGGAGAGTTCCCACCAGAAATCCCCCACTGGAAGTCCCCGAGGTCACCTCCTAGTTAGGGAAGATCAGGGATATGATGAAAGTAGAAGTGCTCAGAAACTGCTGCCAGTCACCAGCCCAGGTGTTCTCTGTCATGCCTATAGTAACCGAGAGGCCCTTTGGAGGGCCTTAGAGCCTCCAGCTCAGCTGGCTCAACCCTGCATAAAACGGGCAGTGGGAGTTATCATCCCTGAGTTCCCTGGGAATGGAATGGAATATTCACCTTCATTTCTCAGATATTGAAGTGAGCCTCACTCCACAACACCACATCAAAGGAAAAGGTTGAAAGTCCCTAGGCCAGGGCCAAGGGGGTGGGGGGATTCCTTTGAAACAAAGTCCCTCCCCGACAGGAGGCGAGGAGGGGAGGCTAATCACAGGTAGGCTAGTGGGGCCAGAGGGTCAGGTGACCCTTTCCCTGTCTCCGCCCCTCCCAAGCCTGCTGGGCTTTCCAGACTCTATACCATCCAGGACAGAGACATCTTAGGATAATAATAATGGCATAACAACACACAATGGTCCTTCCTGTGAGCCAGACTAACACTTCACCTAGTTATCTCGTTTTACTCCTCACAACAGTCTCTCAGAGTCATTGGGTAAATTCCTTAATTTTACCCAGCCTGGGTAAGTGGCAGGACTGGAAAATGACCCTTGTCCAAGCTTGGGGTCCTCACCAAATTTAGGCTTTTGCTGGTTTTCTGATCTCTCTCCCCTCCAGGCAAGGAGAAGGGCGCCAAAAGAGCTCTGACTCCTCCAGGGGGCATTGGGATGCACAGAGAACACTACGGGGGTGCAGAGATGACTCTCGGCAGCCCATTTATTCAGCTTGAATATGAGGAGGTGACTGGATGCAAAGAAGTCTATGGTCCAGTTTCAAAGACTGTTTGATGAGAAGTCTGAGCGGGTGGCCCCCACCAGCCTCCCAGTTCTGGAAGCTGGGGAAGGAGGACAGAGAGAGGAGAGAGGGGAGCTCTCCCTACCCCACACCGATCAGGTCAGGCTCCCAGCCTCCTTCCGCCTGCACCTCCCTACTGGCAGGGTCCACAGGGTCCACAGGTCTCAGGCCAGGTGAGTGAAGTCGCCACACCACCACTACATGGAGAATTTTGAGTGCAGGGGGAAGGTTTGCAAGAGCACTTTGTTCTCTGGGCAGCAGCTTTGATTTTGCTTCCCTGAGGCCTGGGGTAGTGGCCTCCACTCCCCCTTCCCCATCTCTCTACTTGCCACTCTCCTTCCCCAGGCAGAAAGGCAGACACACACAAGCCCAAACAACATTTTTAATTTTTAAGAAATAAGGAAAGAAGAAGCAAAAAGACTAGGTGTGCAAGACTGGGCCACTGCACAGGGAACATTGCCCAATCTCTGCACAAGGAAAGTTCCTGAGAGGTCCAGGGTTTGAGGCTAAAGCCTCCCTCAACAATGCCCCACACCCCATGCCTCTCGGGTGCCTTAGAACACCCCCTTCCTCCTCCAGTCTGTAAACTGGGAGGCTCAGACCACCCCCAGCCACCTACCTTTGTAGGGAATGCAACCATCAGTTTTAAAGTCCTTTGGATGTTTTTTCTGCTCTTTTTACCATAGACAGGGGTGAGAGAGGGTGGGCTGCAGAGGAAACAACAGACTTAAATCGCTGCCTAGTCACACATGCAGTTTCCCTTCTTAGAATCCCAACCAGAAGTTCCATGGTTCCCTCAAGAAAAAAATAAAAAATAAAAATAAAAAGTCTGATGCTTTCTTCTCTCCTGCCAGGCTTTCTGCCTCATTCCGGCTCTCTCCTCTAGGGTTTGTCTTTCAGCCTGTCTCTCTCCGCTTTGGAGTCTTGGTCAGACTCTCATTAACGTCTCTGGACCTCTCTCACCCCCCCCCAAAAAAAGGGGGGATACCCAGTCGAGAAGGGGAAGCCTCGCCCACCCCATGTCTTTCTTACCAACTCCCTCCCTCAACCTCCCCCCTCCCCCCTACACCCCCTCCCCGCCTCCCCTCCCCCCCCCCCCCCCAAACTCCAGCGACCTCCAGATGTTACCGACCAGGCAGGCCATCTGCTGAGACTTCTCAGGCACTCCGGAGAGGGGGCAGGGATTCGGGTTCCTGGAAGCTGGGAGCAAGGCCGACTTCAGTGGGCGGGAGCTGCGTACGTACTTTTGAGACGCTCCCTAGGGTGGAACCCGGGCTCGGCGCGGGCTCGGCGGGCGGGCAAGGGGCGGGGGCGGAGAGAGCTCCAGGAAAGGCCCGCACTTTGGTGACACTCCCTAAGTCTCCGGGCGGCCGGCTGGAGCCTCCACTGGGCGTCTGGCGGGCTGAGGGTTCGCCGGGCGGCGGGCGGGGACCGGGGGGCGGGCCTCGCGGCACTGAGAAAAGCACCGGCCGGAGAGCCCGCGGCCGGGCCGCCTGGGTGAGCGTGCCGAGGCGGCGGCGGAGCAGGCTTCCAGGTGGGTGTGGGTCCCCGGTTGGAACGGGTGTCCGCGCTGTGAGTGGAAGTCTGAAGCCCCGGACACCAACCTGGTCGCCCCATCAGGCAGGCGGGCGGCGCTGGACACTGGGCCGAGGGCGAGGGCCTCTCAACTTTTCCTGGACCCGGGGTGTCATTCGCAGCCTCCGGATGCCCGGAACTCGGCCAGAGTGGGGAACCCAGACCAGGGGGAGAAAGCTTCAAAGAGACAAAGGCTCAGGTCGGGGGTGTGGGCCCGCGCCTCTGGGGTCTTTGTGCGGACACGTGCATCTCGCGCTTGTGGGCCTTTGTGGATTTGGGTCTGGGGACGTGGATCTGCTTGCGCCTTTGTGTGTCCGTGGCTTTGCGTGACTGTTTCGCTCTTTTGTCCACATTTTGTGGGCCCTCTTGGTTGTGGGTGTTGTTGGGCGCATCGTTGTCTGTCCGCGTACGTGGTCTGTGCCTGTCGACGTGTCTAGGCTGGGTGTCCGTGGAGTGTGTACGCGCCGAGAGCCAGACACCGCCTCCAACTCCTCACTCCCCTCGTGTTCACCGCCCCCCGCCCCCGCCCCGAAATGGCTTCAAACTTTTCTCCGGGTTCCTCCGGCAACAGCTCCGGTCCTCCTCTCCGCTGAAGCCTGGGCAAGGGGCGCTGGCATCCCTCCCCTCTTTCATCTTCTGAGGTCCGCGAAACCCAGAGGGATGAGTTAGGACTGGAGGGTCGGGGAATCGGCTGCGCCTGGGGACTGGCCCGGGACAGGGCTTGAGGAGCGCGCCCGACACCTTCGCGGAACCAGGTAGGGGGAGGGAGGGCCCCGGCAGGGAGATGAGCTAAGGAAAGGGGAGGAGAGGGCAGCCGGTGTTGCCCGCCCCGCGCTTTCCCGAGAGTGTATGTGGCCCAGAGAGAGAAGTCTGCCAGGCTGACAGATCGGCCCCGTCCCGGCTCCGCTTTGAGATCCGCTCACCTTTAGCATCCTGGGGGACCAGCCCTCCGATCCGGTAGGTGAGAAGGTGACGAAGATGACGGGCCTGCCCTTGGGGCGGCTTCGAGACTCCAGGTGGACTGCGGGGAGTTAGGAACCCTGCACAGAAAGGCTGAGAATGGCCCACAGTACTACTGCACGGGGCAAGTTGCTCAGCCTGTTACGGATGAGGGTGAGCACTCCCCGAGCGTTCGCTGGGGATAACGAGGGCAGCCTTTGAGAGCCGACGTGAGAACCGTGCCCGCCCACACTAGGCCTGGGCAAGTAGGTGTCTCAGGAACCTCTCCGATCCTTCCTCCCTACTTGCTTTACCGTCGGAGAAGTCTAGGCTTGCAGAGACCAAGTCTGACCCTAGAGGGAGGGCTCAGGCGGCAGGAGCCTGCTGGGCTTTTGATCCTGAGTAGCAAAGATAACCCTAATACCCTGCCATCCCCTACTGTGCCCCAGTGTTAAATTTAGAATTTTGCAGGGTGTTGCAGATGTGAAGGAGGGGCACAAGCCCCTCACTTGGGAAGGAGGCCACCCTTGGCACTTTTCCTTCCCCTCTCTGGACCTCAGTTTCCCCTCTGGGAAGAGAGATGTTGACAGCTTCTCTCCTCCCTTCCTATTCTGGCTGACTGGTTGAAACCCCCTGAACTTGGAAACACTTCGATGTTTCTTTTCACACACCTTCATTCTGACATGACCAATTCCCTGGCACCAATTTGCTCTTTTGAAGTGGGAGAGGGAAGGTGGCTTTGAAGTTAGGGAGGGATGGAGTGAGGTGGGTCAGGACCCCTTGGAGCCCAGGAATGAATGAATGGAAGTCTGGAATATAATAGCTGGGGAAGCCAGATGAATATACTCTGGAGGGAGGAAGTGTCTTCCACACAGGGAACAGCACTGACTGGCTCTGTGTGTTCTGATAACAGCACAGAAATGACTGCATTGTGGACCCTTAAATGTAGGGTGAGGGGGAGTGGAGGTGGGTTAGAATTCAACTTGAAGCTGGGGTGGAAGGAGTGGGCCAAATATGAAGCCCTTGAATGCCAGGCCTAGGAGCTGGGGTTTGAACTGTAGGCAGTAGAGAGCTGCTGGAAGTTTGAAACAGGCATGACAGGGTGGGATTGGTAATTCCAAGAAACCTTCCTTTGGTTTCTTGGTGGTTCTGAAGGCTAGGAGACTAATCTAAAGCCCTTTTAGAGTCTGAAGGACCCAGATTTTACTCCTATTCCTTTGTTTCCTAGCTCTGTGGCCTTGGGCAAGTAACTTGACCTTTTTGATTCTCAGTGTCCTCATCCTTAAAATGGGGATAGGAATTCCTGTCTCACTGATCTGTTGTGACTGTTAACTAGGATAATGAATTACATGTGCTAATAAAATGAAAAGAGGTTTTTAGTCTATTACATTATGAAGACATTTATTGAATTGCACTGACAATAGAAGGCAGAGACACCATCTACTATGGTCCTACATCTGATTTTACCACCTGACCAAGCTCTTAGTATCCTGCATACTTGGGTGAGTTGTTAGCCTCTCCAGGAAGAGGAAAGGTTTCTGTCTGGCGCATTTCATTCATCTGGTTTATCCCCCTTCACATGGCCAGGCCCCATAGGAGGGGAGCTGGACACAGATTCAGAGATGGCCACAGACCGTGAAGTGTGTCTTACCTTGGCAGATGGCCTAGGGGCCAGGGAGGCCCAGGAGGAAGGTGACCTTTTACCAGATGAAGGGGCCTGTTAAACTGGGGAGACCTCATAGAAGAGGTGGCTTTGGAATTGAATGAGTGAGATCTTGCACGGCAGACGAAGAAAAGAAGGCCATCTTCATCAGAGAAAACATCTGTGCAAAGGCAGAGGGCCGTAGAAGGGAGATAAACCTCTAGATTGGTAAGCTGTCTTTGTGACATAGGTTTTAAACAGGGAGCAGTGGTGGGATCCTAGTATTCTCTTGGGGTTGTACTCTGGCGCCCACCAAGCCTGGCCCTTGGAGGCAGATGGCCAGGAAGATGGCTGTAGCAACAGTCTAGGCCTGGAGGCCTCCTGAGCCCGACCTGGGCAGGGTGAGTGAGTGCCTGGCTTAGGGATGAGGGATGGAGAAGATACTGACCTACCCACCAAGGGGAAGCTGCTGGTTCTCATTTTGTCCTCATTTTATCATAGGAGACACAACTTCTTCAGCCTGCTTTGGCCTCTGAGACTTCCAAACTCACTTACCTATCTCCTGATAGAACCCAGTCAGCACTCAGAGCCCCCAGTGGGTCCCAGGAACGGTCCACTGAGAAAGAATCCAAGGCTTCAGGGGATGTATTTTGGATTCCTGTCTATCCCCTGCCCGTAACCTGGCCTTTGGGTCTCCTGGTGTCACAACTCCTTTTTCTTACCTGGTCCCTGAAATCACCCATTAGCAGGACAAGGACCCCCCTGAAGCGAGCGCCAATGTGTGTCAGGCCCAAGGCTGTCTTCACTTTCTCTTGTGCCATCATCCGGGTGGCCTGCTGGGAGCAGTGCTAAGATTCTTCCCACATCACAAATGAAGACTCAGACTCAGGGGCGAGGGCAGGCGTCTTGGTAAGGGAGGCACTGTGGGCTTGGAGCCCTTTCTGCCTGGTTGCAAAACCCATTTCCTGTGCCCTGGACAGTGTCTACACGTGCTGCCTCAGAAAAGCTTCAGAAAGAAGACACTGAAAGGACAAATGGTATTGGACCCTCACCTGTTTCCCTGTAGATTATCCTCTTTGGGGAGGTGGTTGGGCCCCCAGGGATGATGTCCTGGAGGAGGCCGTGCCCTGGGTGTCAGATTACCTGGCTCCTGAGTCCAGTCCCTGGCCCCCCTGGCTGTGTGACTCTAAACAGATTACTGAACCTCCCTGTAAAATAGGTAGGATGCCACCTAACCTGCTGATCTTGCAGGGTGACTAAGCAGGTAACAATTGGGGAGGCACTGGAAAAGCTGAGAGGTATCTTTAGGTGAGGTGGTAGTATTGTAAACGCCTGGTATATCTTCATGTAGTACTCACTGTGTACCAGGCCCAGTGCTCAGCCCTAAGGACATAAAAATGAACCTAACCCCATCCCTGCCCACAAGAGGACAGATAGGTAAATGTCATTATAGCCCAGCATGATCAGTTAGCCATCACCCACACAGCCCATTTGTGTAAGGCACATGGGATGAGAAGCACTGGATTTGGAGCTAACGCCTCTGAAGTTGAGACCTCATTCCCCTACTATCCAGCTGAAGAACGTCAGTCTCCTTGTCCGTAAAATAGGGACAGCGACCCCCACGGTCAGAGGCTGTGGTGAGGCAGACATGAGGCGCTGGTATAGAAGTGTGTGGTGAGCTGATGTGTTTGTAGAGATGGGTGGCATTAGTGGTTCTGTTGGGAGAGCCAGCCCTCGAGTCTCCAGGAGTTGGCCCTGAAATTCTTTTTGCCTTGAGTTTCCAGAGCTGACTAAATGGTTGGAGGATAGGACGTTAATGGAATTTCCACCTGGGGATTTCATTGGCGTCAGCTTGAGTGAGCTCATAAGGAAGGGAGCGGGGTGGGAGGCAGCTGGGCACTGAGGAGCAGCTGGGGGAGGCAAGGGCCTGTCTCAAGTCAGTGCAGGGCTCTGGTCCAGCCCAAGGGTCGGCTCCCCACCCACCTTGTTCCTGTGCCAGGGGCTCCCTCTTGAAGATGTGGTTAAGGGGCTGGCAAACCTATGGGCCAGAGATGCTGTATTGCAGCACCAGAGGCAGGCAGCTGGGGCCAAGGGGGCCAGAACTGCTGGCCCCAAAGAGGTCTCAGAGGAGGGAGCTTGGGGCCTTGCTGGCAGACACCAGCACAGAGACCGGAGCATGCTGGCACAACGGTCACAGACCTGCTGGGTACCTGCCACTGCATTGGGTCCTTGGGTATGGAGGAACATGAAGAAAAATGACACAATCATTGCCCTCAGGAAGCTTAGTAAATCATGGCCATCACTGTCTACCATGCCCTGAGCACTTCGCTTTTGGCAGATCATGAGTGAGCCGAATGCTTCACACGCTGTCTGTCCCTTAATGCTTTCGCCGACCCTGTGTTGTGATCCCTACTGAAGACACTGAGACTTGACCAGATTGAGACTTTATTGAGGCTAGTAGATACAGAGCTGCATTCAGATGAGTCCGACGGTTGATGCTTAACTGCTGGGCTCTTTATTTATCCAGCAGTGTTGCCCGCCAGGCCTGGCTCTGGCCCCAGGTGGGGGAAGGGATGAACAGGTGAAGAAGGCAGGGTCACTGCTTCAAGCTGCTCACACTTCAAGTCAGGAAACAGGCAGGTAAATAACTAATGACAGAATTTACTCAGTCTGTGTCTGCGGAGGTGTGCCCAAAGTGTGGTGTGACAGGCCCTGGGAACAAGCAAGGGAAGGAGGGGTAGCCCGGGAGCCTGAGTGGACAGAACGGGCTTTGTTCCCCTGGTGGGGCCAGGGCAGGCCGGGTGGACGAGGGCGATGCTGGCAGCAGGGTGAGGCATCAGGACTCAGGTCCTGGGTCCGCTTCCTTGCTGTCACTGCCCACTCCGTGCCTCGGTTACTCTCCAAGGGACCTTCCAGCTCACCAGCCCTGGAACTCTCTGAATTTGAGGAAGTGTGAGCAGAGGCTCAGATTAGTTCAGCAACTGTCACCATCACTATAGGTTCAAATCAAGATGGGGTGGGGGGACTTGCCTCTGGTTGGGTGGCTCAGTTGGTTAAAACATCTTCCCAATATGCCAAGGTTGCAGGTTCAGTCTCTGGTCAGGGCACATACAAGGATCTACCAATGATGCATAAATAAGGAGAACAACAAATCGGTGTTTTTCTCTCCCCCTTCCTTTCTCTGTCTCTCAAAAAAATCAATAAATAAGATGGGGAGCTCAGCCAGAGGAGGGATGAAGGTGCAACAACTTGCAAATGTCCCCAGTGCTAGGGAGAACTTGATTTCTGACAGTAAAAGTAGAAGTCAAGAGGTTTTTGAGACTTCAAAGTTGTTTTAGAGGCTCTCTAGCAAGGCCTGGAGTGTCACAGTGGGAAGACTGTATGGGAGCCTATTAGGGCCACACCTTTTACTCTTTTGACCTCATGGGCCATCAGCAAACTTTCATGGCCCCTGCCCAGAGGACTTTATGCTGTGTCCTCCAAACCAGGGGTGGGTACAATTTCTGAGCTCCTGTCTTCTTGCTCTTGTGTTGTATAACCTAGCTGATGGTTGAGTGGATCTTTTATCTGCACATTGGGGTTTGGAAGAGAAGTGATGTATCTGGAGCCAAAGATCCTTTTCCTCCCTCAGCCTTCCATGGTGACCAGCTGTCTGCCTTTTCCTTTCTCCAGAGGGCAGATCATAGCTCCCAAAGGGAGACAGAATTAATACTGTCAGGTGCAAACACCGAGGCTCAAAGAAATGAAGACAACTGCAAAGGCTCTACAGATAGTGGCAAACCTGGTCTCCTAGGGCCAAGGCAGGTATACGTGATCTCGTTATGAGCTGATGTCCTGTCCCCGGTGCTGGTCAGTAAGCCCCACAAGGACTTAGCATCCCCTCCCCACCCCAACATACACTTCACACAGTACTTAGTAGAGATTTAGTAAGTGCTTTTGTTAAATTTTGAATGTCTGTAACACCGGAGCTGGATTGTCTAGACCTAACCTCTTACTGTGGAACTGGAGAAACTGAGGCTTAGTGAGGGGATGGGGACTTGTCTGAAGATGTGAACAGGCCATGCAGAGCATGGACTAAAGCTGGGATTCATGACCGGCTTCCAGGACCTGCCTTGGTCTGTGCACATTGCCCAGTTCGCCACCTCTTCACCGCCACCCCCGGAGAGTGGTGAAGGAAGTCGGAGGTAGTCCATGGGTGCCCTTTCTGGGGGATTCCTCCTACCATAGAGCCTAGGAGAGACACAAGCACCCACTGACTGCACATCTGTCAGTGTCCTGACCCTGTGATGTCTAGTTCTCATAACAACCCTTTGAGGAAGGGATTGTCTCCATTTTAGATGAGTAAATGGGCTGAGGGAGAAGAAGATGCTTCCAAAAGTTGCCCAGTTTAGCAGGTAACTCCTGTTCCCAGTGATGTAACGCCTTCAGATCAGAGAATTGATCCCAGAATGAAAGCTTTCATCTCAAGGGCCAACTCTAATCAGTGGGTAGAGGGCACCCTGTTGAGAAGAGCTCTGAGGTCCTGTGCAGATTCCCTAGGAAGTGGTGCTGTGATTGATTATGCCTGCAGTGGATATGCCTAGGTAGAATGAAAAAGAACAGTGTTTCCATGATGTGGCTACCTGTTGGGGCTTCATTTCTCTACAGGAGTGTTCAGCTTCTCTCTCTACCCTTTACAACCAGCCTTTCTGAGACCAGTGGGACCCTCAGTACTATCTCAGATTCACAACTGAAGGAACTGGTCCAGAGAAATAAAGTGACTTTCCCAGTTAACAGTGCACATTGGTGTTCAAAGCCGCCTCTCCATGAAGCTCTTTCCTCTCCACAGAGCAGAGGCTAATGGGTTTTGTCAAGAGGAACTCACGTTACTCATCCTTTCCCAGATCCAGAAGCCCTATTGAGAAATAACATAGTGTGTCCTGCCTGGAAAGAATCACTCTCCAGGAGGGTGCTGAGAAGAGCTTTGTGACACATGGTTGCTAAAGGAAAGAGAGAGAGAAATGGGGCCGCGCCCACCTGCTGGTCCCCACCCCATCAGCCTGTAGTCTAGGGAGACTGTGCCCTTCCCGTGTACGGGGATCCCCGCTAGGTGCCTTACTTCTACCATTTTGTTTCATCTTCCTGATGGTCCTGTGAGGTAGCTATTAATATCCCATTTTACAGGTGAGGAGACTGAGGCTGAGATTGTAGTACCGAACATCAGAGAAAGTAGAGATAGCCATGAGGTGGTTCTATTAGGAGCCTTTGTTACCCAATGTGTTATATATAAATTATAGATAGATAGATAGATTAATTTTACTATAAGAAAGGACATGTAATGGGGGAGTGTGAAGAGATTGAGACATTTTTAAATTGCTCAAAGTTCTACCATCTAAAGAAAACCACTGTTGTGTTGATATATTTTCTTTTGGCCTTTCTAAAATTAGTATTTGGGTTGGGTTTTTTGGGGTTTTTTTCGTTGTTTTTTTTTAATGCATAGTTACAGTTTTCCTAGACATGCAATTTATCCTTATGATATCTATCATTATGGCATCAGCTCCTTCCATGAGGTCACACGCTGTTCAGAACATTATTTTTATTGACTCCCTAAGATCCCTAGGAGAGTCAGCAGCCAACGTGAGTGGCCTGGCAAGCTCTGGGCATGTAGTCAGGAGGCCAGAGCCTGAGCATCAGCTAACACACCTCACTGGTGATCTGAGGACAAGTCACTACATACTCCCTTCGTCACTAAAGTGAGGGATTGCATGCCCACTCTGGAACCTTCCAGCATCAAATAAGCAAAGGCCTTTTTTTTTAATATAAAGGGCTGCGCCCTGGCAGGAATTTTCCTTATCTTCCTTCAGTATCCTCCTGGGAAAGTTCTGCCATCCCCTTGGCCCCTGAGCCTTTTGCTAAGGGCCTTCCAGCAGCAGTGGCAGAACACAGCATCTCTGTGACACAGGAAGGCACCCTACTGTATGTTACTCCAAAGGGGACATTTCCTCTGAGCAGAACAGGGGCCCTGACTTTCAAAGGCCACCAGTCCACACCTCTGCCTTTGCCCACTTCTGTGTGCAAAGTTGTGAGGCCTGTCAGGGATTTCTCCTTTCTCTTTTCCCCACAGCCTGGGACACCCCTGAGAGTCCTGGGCTCTGCTGTGACCTCAGGAAAGCCCCAGAACCATTAAATACTAAAAATCTTGGCATCTGCGTCATCACAGCAGTCAATTGCTGCCAGAGCTTGGCCCTAGGACTCTGGACACCTTCTTTTCCCAGCAACACACAGAAGTAGACATTCCACTGGAACCAAACCAATTATGAGGTTCTGAAGGCGAAAGTTCGGTTCCCAGCTCCACCGTCACCCTTCTCTCATGCTCAGTTTTCTCCACTCTAACATAGACATAAGACTGCTGCACTCCTGAGTGACTGAGGAGTGTATATGAGAGAACACGTGTACAGCACTAGCCATAATGAGGACTGGCTCTGACTCAACGTCAGCGCTTTCCAGGGGAATGTCCAGGCCTGGCGCAGAACGGGGGCCCAGGGAGAGGTGTCCACTGTGCACGGCTGAGCAAGGGCCTGTCCAGGATATCTTGGGAGTGCTAGGTCTCGTTTTATACCCCTGCTCCTTTTACACCAGCCGTCCCCACCATTGCCTCAATTCCATGTCTGAAGTGGCCCACTGATGACCACCTTGCAAGTGTGCATAGCCCTTCATAGTTTGGATTGCATTTCAGTGAGAGTCAGTCAACTATGTGAGGAAGGCAGGGCAAGAATTACTGCTCTGTGGTTCAGAGGACAAGGCTGAGGCCTGGAGAGGAGTGGCAAGAGGCCCCTTCCCTGGAGGGGTAGGCTTAGGGTTGTGTTTGAGCTCCCAGTAAAATAAACAGAGGCCCTTGAGAGGCCATTTGGCATTTAATAGGTACATTGTGGGAACCAGAGGGTAATCTTAGGGCCTTTTTTTTGTACTTGTGTTGTTTGTTTAAACCCCAGGAAGGGTGGATATGAGCAGATCAGCTGAGTAGGGAAGGCAGGACCCTGGGTGGTAATAAATCCCTGTGGTAAGATGTTCACTCAGGGGAACAAAGGGTGCCTGAAGCAAATTAATTCTTTTCCTTTTGGTTCCAGACCTTGGATTACTCTACCCTGCCACAGTTGGGACCAAGCCCAGGGTGCACCTGGGCTGGATTTAATCCTCAAATTGGATTCTATAATAGAAAGGTGTGGGAGAGGAGGGACCCCATAGGAGGGCAGAGGAGAAGAGCCCTACTTCTTCCTGCCCCCATGCAGAGCCAGTGTGTGGATCAAGTAGCTACCCCTTTAAAGTTTCATGGAGTGCTGGTAATACTATCGTGTTGTTCCCTCCCCATCCACCCCAGGCTAGAAGGTGGGCAGTCCCTGGTGCATCCCTCCCTGAAGGCCAGTGGGAGGGTAGGTGGGGGGAAGGCAGGGCAGGGGTGCAGAGCGGGGCTATACCAGGTGAGGAGACCTGCTGGAGTGAGGCCTGCTCTCCCAGGCTGAGGGGCGGCTGTGTGGTGGGAGGAGATAACCATACACTGTCCACTTAGGTGCGTTCATTGCTCAACCCCGTTCCTCATCTTCCCGTGAGCACCACAGAGCACAGTCACGGAGCTACAGTGGGTGTGCACACAGGCTTTGGGCGTGAGGATTGAATGTAGCAGTGTACACGTAGTGCCTGACATATGTGGCAGCTACGGTATAATTGTACAGGGATGGAAACAGGCCAGGAGAGGGAACGTGGCTTGTGTCATAGCATGCGTCTGGAAAAAGCTCTTCTTGGGTCTTGTCTCTCCACCAGTCCCCTTGCCAGTCCTGCTGGAGGCAACAGGTGAAAATAGAGGAATTAGAATTGAGCAGGCTTGGGTTCTAATCCTGCCCTGCTTTATACTAGTTGGGGTAAACCCTTTTCCTCTCTGAGCCTCTATTTCTTTATCTGTATAACGGGGGAACCAGCCCAGCTGCCTAGCCTAAAGGAAGAGCCAAACAGGGGTAATACCTATATAATCTGGGGGTAGGGACAGAGCACGGGGTAAGGGGCTTTGGACGGGTATCCCAGAGCCCATCAGGAAGTCAGTTGGAATAAAGGATCCTGCCTCTGGAGGACAGGCCGGGTGAGGGGGCTTAGGACTGTGGACTCGTCCATTGTCACCCACAAAAGAGGCTGATCTAGGAGGCTGGCATGTGAGTCTCAGGCATGGCGCAGCCACAGCCGAACCGTGACAGTGAGCCATGCTTCCTCTATGCTCCGTCTAGTTCCCTTCCCAGTTACTTGTGGTCAGGCGTGACTTTCTGAACCTCTCTAAGTCTCAATTCCCTCTTCACGAAGTGGTGACAGAAATTTCTACCTTGCAATTTTTGTGGTTGTGAGCGTGAAGCGAGTCTGTGTGGTGGGGCAGCTAGTACAGCACATGGCACGTGCTCAGCACCCGACCCTGAACAGGATGGAGCACCGGGCCCGGACCTCTAAGCTGTGAATGCCTCCCCTGATTGGGCCTGGATCAAGACCAGCCCAGGGACCCTAGGTAGCTGTCAGAGCCCTAGAGGCCAGCTACAGAGCCTTCTGATCCCGCGGGTTTCCAGCTAGGTTCCTTAATGTGCTGCGGCAGAGATGGTGAGGGGGCGTGTAGGGCTCTGCTGCTTCCAGCTTAAAATCCACCGACCTGGCCTCACCTGGGGAGAGTAAAAGGAATGAGGAACTGTATGAGGAGGAGTATTCAGGGAAAGCATCCTGGGAGGACAGGGTGCTGGTGACAACTTTTAGCTGTGCCTAGACACATTGACTGGTGTCCTGTGGGGTGCAGTTAGAATCACCCAGTATGGGGTGCCTGCCGTCAGCCCTCACCTATGGCTCTCCCTCTAGGCCCGACCATGCTGTGGTCCCTGCTGCTGTTGCTGGCTGTGAGCTGCGTCCAGACAACCCGACCATGCTTCCCCGGGTGCCAGTGTGAGGTGGAGACCTTCGGCCTCTTTGATAGCTTCAGCCTGACACGAGTAGATTGCAGCGGCCTGGGCCCCCACATCGTGCCCGTGCCTATCCCTCTGGACACAGCTCACCTGGACCTGTCCTCCAACCGCCTAGAGACCGTGAACGAGTCGGTGTTGGCAGGGCCAGGCTATACCACGCTGGCCGGCCTGGATCTCAGCCACAACCTGCTCACCAGCATCTCGCCCACTGCCTTCTCCCGCCTTCGCTACCTGGAGTCGCTCGACCTCAGCCATAATGGCCTGGCAGCCCTGCCTGTGGACAGCTTCACCACCTCGCCCCTGAGTGACCTGAACCTCAGCCACAACAGGCTCCGTGAGGTCCCAGTGTCTGCCTTCGCTACCCACAGCCAGGGCAGGGGGCTGCATGTGGACCTCTCCCACAACCTCATCCACCGCCTCGTGCCCCACTCCGCTCGGGCCAGCCTGCCCACGCCTACTATCCAGAGCCTGAACCTGGCCTGGAACCGGCTCCGCACTGTGCCTGATCTCCGAGACTTGCCCCTGCGCTACCTGAGCCTGGATGGGAACCCGCTGGCTGCCATTGGCCCAGGTGCCTTCACGGGACTGGCTGACCTGACACACCTGTCGCTGGGAAGCCTGCAGGGTCTCCCCCAACTGGAGCCCTATGGTTTCCGTGAGCTACACGGCCTGCAGGTCCTGGACCTGTCGGGCAACCCCAAGCTCAAGTGGGCAGGACCTGAGGTGTTCTCAGGCCTGGGCTCTCTGCAGGAGCTGGACCTGTCGGGCACAGCCCTGGTGCCCCTGCCTGAGATACTGCTCCTCCACCTCCCAGCGCTGCAGAGCGTCAGCGTGGGGCAGGGTATGCAGTGCCGGCGCCTGGTACGGGAGGGTGCCTACCCTAGGCAGCCTGGATCCAACCCCAAGGTGGCCCTGCACTGCATAGACACAGGGGAACAGGCTTCCAGGGGCCCCACCACATTGTGACAAATGGTGTGGCCTAGGGCCACGTAACAGACTGCTTGCCATGGGCTGACCCAGGTCCTGGGTAATTTATATTTTAATGTGCCAATGCCAATGGGGGCTCTGCAGGCCTCTGTGGCAGCAACACTGAAAGACAGCTGTGGACCTGGGAAGAGGCTTTGGACCTGAGACTTACACCCAGGAACAAAGTCTTGCCCCTTTATATTGTCCCCAGACCATAAGCTGAGAGTCTTTGATGCCAAACCAGACAGCAGTTCCCGGCTGTCCTTCCCCACTTGACCATGAAGTGCCTTCCCTCAGGCCTGGGCCAGCCTGACTGATAGGAGGAAGGTTAGAGGTCAGGTCTGTGACTCAGTGTCCCCTTGGGCCCATGGTCCAGTCACTCAGGGGCATGGGTTTCTCTTGCTCTGGGTACATGAGGCCCACTTTATCCCTTTCTCTTCCCCTAGAACCCTGGGTAGAACTTTAGTTATAAAAAGGACTGAGAAAAAAAAAATCAAGTCCACCTCCTCATGTGACAGATGGGAGAACTGAGGTCTAGAGAAGGAAAATTGCTAATCTGAGGTACTCCAGCCGCAGAGGCATGACTGGATCCAGGGTCCTGCCTCCCAGCCGGGCCCCTGCGCACTTTGCTGTCCTCTCTAAATCGTGCCCTCCCGCTCCTCTTTCTGGGCTCCCCTTTGCTGCCATAACCCACATCCTGCCATATATGCCCTTTTCCAGTCATCTCAAGGACAGGAAAGGGCCGCCAAGGTGGGACCCTGGGCATATTGACCAGCTGTGTTGCCTGGGCTGAGTCTCTTCACCTCTCAGAGCCCCTGGAAGCTTCAGGCATGCCAACCACTCCCACCGGCCGGTTTCCCGCTCTGGGGTGGGGTCCCCCAGCGCCAAAACTGGAAACATACCCATTGATCCTTTAGGCATTGCCTGTAGATGCTCCCCGAAGATGTGGACGTGATCTTGGAGCCCTACCTGGCCACAAGCAAGGAGGGGCCTCCCAGACTCAGCTCCCACGGGCCCAGAGCCCATGGCCCATCCCACACCAGTGAGAACGCCATGGAAGGGGGCAGGCAGTTCCCACTGAATTTTATATACCCCACCAGGGTTGCATCTCAGCTCCCCAGCCCTGGGCTCTGCCCTTTGTGCTCATTTTATACAAGTTGTTGCCTTTTTAATGGACTGCCACTTTCAACCAGCTTCCCACCCCCACCCCTGCTGGCAGGGGAAGGAAAATGTCATTTGTAAAAAAAAAAAAAAAAAACGTTGTACTTGTTCACTTTTGTAACAGGGTGTCCTGGGGATGTGTTCGGGGAGGGGATGTTGGGCGGAAGCCAACCATCAGTGGCCATGTGGGCATGAGGGGGCTGGTCCCACAAAGATGCCCACAGGACAGTGAGAGTTCTGCCCTCCCCCACCAGCCCTGCCCATCTCCTCACTGATCCTTGGTTTAATAAACTTTATAAAGAGTCCCTCTTTCCATCACTCAACCAGTGTCTGCTCACAGTCCCTGGGCTGGACTCTGGGGCCACAAGAATGAATCAGGACCAGCCCTGCCCTGGGCAGTGTGTTCTGCCTGAAAAGCCCAGTAACCACCTCAGCCGGTGGGGTGGGGGGGTGAGATGACACGGAGGGGGTGTTACTCCGGAGTGGGTTGCATCCTGTCCACCTTCCTTATCTCCCCTCTTGCTGCTTCCCCAGTTCCATGAACTTGCATGCCCCTGCCTTTGCTCAGACTGTTATTCTGGGACCTTGCCTTTGCCTTCATCCTCACCTCTCAACTCCTTCCCCTCCTGTCTCACCTTCAGAGGCTTCCCCCCAGGTCCCTCTCCCCCTTCCTCTGAGCTCCAACAGTGCTTTGTTCCTTCCTGGCATTTCAGCTGCTGTGGGAGCCTAACTCCTCTGTACACTTCCAGTGACAGGGAGCTCATTGCCAACTCATCTGAGTGGTTCTATTGTCAGCAAATTCTAACTGGCCAAGGTCTACAGGAATATCCTTCACCAACAACCATAGGTCCACCCCCATCTCGGCCCTAAGGGGACTCACGATCTGTGGGGCAGGAGGGGGACAAAGGACGCACAGGGAGCTCTAAGAGCTCTGTGGTAGGGTTAGGAAGGCCTCCTGGAGGGGGCTCATTCACACAGCTGAGAAGGACAAGGGGGCCTGGCCGTCCTGTCACTCAGAGCCCCTCCCCACACATGCCCCAGGAGCCCAGGGCTGAGAAAATGAGGAAGCCCTGAGGCTTGGGAAGGGGTGTCATCAGAATTCCGTTGGTTCTCTACCCCTTGCATTTTCCCTGGGATTAGAGAGATTTCAAAAGCAAGGGATGGGGAGAGATCCTTGGGATTTTGACCCAATGGGCCTGGGCCCTCCCAGAGCCCTGCTTAAAAGAGGAGCCCTTGGGGGAGGGACATGGAACATGGGTCTTAAAGACAGGGACAACGCAGTGCTGAAGGCCGGGGAGCGGGGGCTCCTGCAGAATAGGGAGCTGAGGCAGATCACCTCTGCCAAGATACAGCTGCAGTGGGCCGGGGGAGAGGGGGCGCAGACACCATCACACCGTGCAGGTTCCTCCCTCCTGGGGGGACATTACCCTGCACCCCCAGCCCTGGCTTACTCCCTGTCGGGAGCACAAGTCCTAGAGCAAATGGGTCATCCCTGAGGCCCCTCCACAGGCTCCCAACTCACAGTGCCACCTTGTGGTCACTCATGGCCAGTCCCAGGGGTTGTCGGAACACAGCCAAGGCAGACCTCCACAGTGTGCGGCCAGCCTCACCTTCCCTAGCTGGGCTGCTCTCAGCCTGCCATGCCCCGCCCTCTTGGAATCCTGGGGCCAAGAACGGGGGTCATTAAAATCTTACAGAATTAAGTAGAGAAGTGCAAAGGTTCTGTTTCGGAGTTCACAGAAAAGGGTTAACCTCCTGGGTCCATCACAAATCAGTTGTGTGACTTTGGCCAAGTCACTTTCCTGTCTGAGCCTGGAAAACAGGGATGAAAATGTCTCCACAGGGTTGTATGAAGAATAAATGAAGTAACATTTGTAAAGAATCAAGAACAGTGCCTGCCACAAAGTAGACACCCCATAAATGCTTGCTCTGGAATGCCTTCATTCAACTATAGGATCATGAATTAGATTACAGAACTATGTAGTCTTAGGCTTCTATTTTGATAACTGACTCAGAACCGGATAATTTCATAAAAGTTTAAAACTTAGAATTGTAGAACAATAATCTTCAGTATCTTCGCATTAATTCAAGTACAGGGCCCTTCTAAGGTCCCATTGCCTGTGAAGCCAGCCCTGGTGACTTAATCACACCATTTGCAAGGAAGAGACAAATACCCAGACAGTGTTGGTCAGGACAGCAGGCAAGAGCCTGTGGGTCCGTGTGTAACCCAATCCCTCTGTAGCTCATTCCCTCCATGGGTGTTACCGCGCCACCCGCCGATTTCCCCAAATTGCCTGGGCCAAAAGGCTGTCCGAGAGAGAGCAGACGGAGAGGAGAGGGCAGGGTGTTTCTCCGAGCCAGTGCCAGCCATGGGGTGGGAGGCGGCGGACAAGGTCCGTCCCCCGCTCATACCTAACATCCACAGAGACAAAATAGAGTTCATCAGAGGCCAATAGCATTTTGCCCATTGATGGTTAATGTTCTGTGTTGGTTCATGCCTACTAGAGAGCAAGTGTCATTGATACCAAATGTTCAGCAATACCTCATGTCCGTCAATGACAGCTCGCAGCAGTGGCAGACATCCACAAAGGGGGACTGTCCATTGGTGACAAGACCCACTACTGCTCAGTATATACCAATGCCCAGTGTTTGCAGGTAGCTAATTGCAATTATAATTTCTCAGTGCCTCAATACCTAATGTCAGCCCGTAGCTCGACATCTGGCAACAGAAAATAGCCTCTCAGTTAAGTCATACGCCTTGTGTTTATTTTTCTGTTTTGTTTATTTAAGTACCAGTAGCTGTCTTTATGGGGATTATTGTGTTTCTTGAGTTCTGCAGAAATTCTTCCTGTGTTTACAGTTTAATTCCAAAAGCTATTTATTATTATCTTTTAAATACCCATTAGTCAAAATATCCTGAATTAAGAATGTCAACATACATTTCTGCGTCTTGATATATACATGTGTATATATATATATATCATGTATATATAATTATTATATACACAATACAGGAAAACAGAGAAAAAGAAACTGGTTTGAGGACAGAAATGTCAAGCCTGAAACAATTTTCTAGATAGATGATTCTTAGAAGCAGCAATTTTTCCAAAGTGAAGTGCTGGTTTATGGCATCAGCTCTTCTGCTCAGGCAAAGAATTGACAAAAAGCCCTACTTTGGGCTGAAAAAAGCCAGGTGCCCTAATAAGGTTAAGGCGCAACACATGGACTCCTTAAGGCAACATAACCAGTGGTTAAGACAGGGGTTCTAAAGGGAGGCTTCCTGGGCTCAAAGCCCGGCTCTGCTGTTTATGGTTAAGTGGCCTGGGGTGAGTCACTCAACCTCTCCGTGAGCCTCGGCGTACACATCTGTAAAACAGAGATAGTCGCTACCTCAGGGGGCTGTTGCAGGGATAGTAAGTCGATGCACTTAAAACACCTAAAATAGTGCCTGGCATATAATAAGTGCTACATAATAAATAATATGAAAAATTAATTTTGGGAAAATTCTCTCTTTTGTCAAACTGGCAAGCATTTCATGGCTCACCATATTCTCAGGCAGGGTTTCTTCAGGGGCCATCAGCTCTCAGCCGTGACTTCATCCATGTTGTTATGCTTAGGAATTTGTCTGAAAAGAGTCTCTACCCTCCACACCATTACATGTCAAAATTGCCTCACCATGACAGCTTCCTTCTGACACAACACTTGCAAGGACACAGTGCTTAGGAAATGGCCTCATGATCGTCTTCCGCGGGCCTGGCAGTCACAGACAAATGGCTGGCCCGCTGTGGTTTGAGAAACAGAGAAAACCTTCCACCCGCCTTCACTCTCCCTGATAGCCTCACTCAGTATGAAATTTCACTGTTACTCTTTAGCTTAAGCTGTGACTGTTGTCTGATGTCCTTGCTAGGTAGGCAGGGGCCCAGGACAATGTGAGTGTCATTGGAGGATGGAGAGAAATGTCTGTGTAGCAATAGGACATTCATTTATTAACCGGGGAGCAAGGGGTACCTGGCCAGTCTATCCAAATGTTGCATACCCTAAAAATGATTTTAAAGTGCTCTGTTGATAGGACAGTTGTCAAGACTATGGTGGTAGGTGTGAGATCGTGAAACCCACAGAGAAGGTAGTTGAAAAATAAGGTCTCTTAGGTAAAGCTGTCATTTCTACCACCCAATGTGATATCCTATTATATTGGTGGCTCTCAGTGACTCACACCTCCTAGTATTATCACCCTGTGTAGAACCTTCCTCTTGAGTCTGGGCTGGGCCTGTGATTTGCTTTAATCAATCCAATAGTGGCTCTGAGCCAGTTCCAGATGTGAGTCTTAAGAAGGCCTGGCAGCTTTCACTCTTTCCATCTTGGGAGCTGCCATGTAGAAGTCCAGTGAGACCACATGGAGAACGTGGGGTGAGGCTGCCATGGGTAGGGGCTGTGGGGGCTGTGGGGGCTGCTCACCTAAGGCCATATGGAGAGAGAAAAGCTCAACCATCAGCATCTGACAGATATCAGACCCCAGGCAGACCCACTAGCTTATTAATGCACATGAGCGGCCACAACAAAACCGGCAGAAGACCCAACCGACTGATCCCAGCCCTGACTGCAGAATCGTAAGCCAATAAAATAATCATCGTGCTAAGCTTTTCTGCTTTGGAGTGGCTTCCTACATAGGACTAGACAACCAAAACAACCAGGTCACAAGCTTCATGTCCTCCCAGCCCTATTGCCCCTGCTCCACCCGCTCTGGTTTCCCTGGTAAAAAGAACTGCTAACTGCACCTTGGGATGTGAGCAGCTGAAAATTCAAAATACAAAAAAGATGCCAAGTGACAAAGCCAGACAGCCAGAGCCTCCTTGAGGATGGCCAGTCCGAAGGTATTGGGAACCGTCCCGCCTGGTTTCAGGAACAGTAGCTTCCCTGACAGGTGAGAGGGCCCCAAGGCTGGAGCTGGCAAGGAGGCCTTGGGAAAATAGGCCACTGAGGAGACAAAACCTGTCTCCCTGGCAGGGGCGCAGCCCCTGCCTCCCTCACATCACCCTGCTGGGCCCCAGAGGATGGCTGGTTAGTCAATGATGGGTAAGACCCCTCGATGGCAGAGGCAACCTAAGACAGGCACAGTCACATGGGGGCCATCAGGGAAGGACTTGGGGGACACGGAGAAGGGGCAAAAGACCATCACCCCTCAGCTTTGTCATGGCCGGAGTCCTCATTCTATCTGAAAGGAGGCTCCTTATCTCTCGGCTGCTCAGCTCCACCCGCCTGGCTCAGGCTTGAAACAATAGTAGAGGCAGGTACTGGATAGGGCAGCCCTCCAGGGGAGATCAGGCCTAGAAGTAAATC